CCACAATCATCCGAGGGAAAACTCTATGGTTTTCCCTCAAATGATTGTGGCCCTGCCCCCAATGTCCCCGACGTGCTTGCGTCACTTCCGTGTGACGTGCGCGTGGCGTGTGCGCGAAGACTCCCGGAGCAAGGCTGGACTCCCCCTCTCCGGGACAGGTAAGCACTTGGCAACCCTAGTCTGGCCACCCCCACCCCCCATCTCCTTCCAGTGGCCAGGGGAGACCCAGCAATCTCATACAGAGTCCGCCCTCTGAAGCTTCCATTTTTTCCAGTTGTCTGAGCTCTATTCTGGAAATCAACTACAATTCCATGAGACCTTGGGCATCCGCCTGCATGTTGGCAACCCTAAATAGAGGACCCGATCTGTACCGTGCATGTTACAGTACAGGCCTAAGTTCTGATATTCACTGAGGGTACCAGCAGCACACACAGATGCTTTTGGCAGCTCTGCTGTAACAGGTGATTAATCTAGCTCAAGATATACCTGCAGCATAGTTCAGTGAGTTTCCCACAAGTCTTGCTGACTCCTGGACTTCTCTGGCATTTTATTGTAACCACATTTGACATCTTCCCTGTCTGTTTTTTTTCTTTCCCCCCTCAGCTGATCTGGCTTGTAACCTTTGTAGCCACCATTGTGCTGAACCTTGACATGGGGCTGGGGGTCGCTGTGGTCTTTTCACTTCTCACTGTTGTCTTCAGGACCCAGATGTGAGTATTCCTTTGGCTTTAGAGGGAAGAAAAGGTATTGGCAATTGCCGTCCACTGAGCAAGACTAAGTGAACAACCAGGGGAGCAGAAGAAAGAATGAGACCATCGGTGTACCTTTTTCCTTTTGTACCCTTAGAAGCTCATTGATTCAGAAATCTCGAGCAGCAGAAGACACTTATTTCTTACTTTTAAGATGCAAGGGCTAAAAGGACTGAGACAAATTTTTGCAATTGCTAGAGTGAGCTTTAGGATCCTTATCACTGAGCAAAAGAGCCAGGGTTTCTGGTGTATAGGGGGACGATTGGTTGAATAAAGGCTTAATATAGTAATCCCTCATAATCTCAAAAAATCCACATTCCAGCAGGGCATGGAAGGATGTATCAATCCTGTTAAGGCCACAAGGACAAATTCTGTTAGTATAGGGCCTATTCAAAAATCTCCCCTGCAAAACTATTGTGGGTACAATATTCAGTCCTGCAAACAAAAAAGTTCTGCAATAACGTGGGATGGTAAAGATAGTACATATAGGGGGGTAAAGATTTTGGGTAAGAAAGACGGGCTGTCAGACTCAAACTACAATGGTCGATGTGTACCACTTAATCATGAGCTGTGCTACAACCATGGTGAAATTAACTGTTTCCTTAAGTGCCACAGCTCTATATCCAGTTCTTAGAACTGGTGTAAGTTTAGGAGAGCAATACAGCTAGAGAAAGGAGCCTGTACAGAATGCTCAGCAATAAGACCAACGAATTATCATGGAGTGCAGTAGTGATAGAAAGGAGATAGCATGGTGTGCCACTTCATGAGAAGAGAAGAAGGACGAGGAGGAGATTAGATTTATACCCAACCCTTCACTACCTGAAGGAGTCTCAGTGCGATTCTGCATCTAGCATTCGCTCCACATTTTCTCAAACTGAAGAACAGGTGCAGCTCAAAACCACATTCAAATACCTCAGGGCAATGCCATACTGACTGCAAAGTCACCCCTGAATGGCCATAAATCTATGCAGAAGGTACCATAAAACCCAATGATCAAAGAAAGTGAAAGCAGCATCCAATGCAGAGAGGAATTTCTGTTCCAACATGGATTTCGTAAAACAATGGAGGGGAAAGCCAATGCAGAATCGCCCTCAGAGTGGCTTACAATCTCGCTTCCCTTCCCCCCCACACAACAGACACCCTGTGAGGTAGGTGGAGCTGAGAGAGCTCTGAGAGAGCAGCTCTAAGAGAACTTGTAACTGATCCAAGGTCACACCAGCAGCTGCATGTGGAGAGGTGGGGAATCAAACTCAGTTCTCCCAGATTAGTATCCGCACTCCTAACCACTATCTTCTGCAATTCCCCGGAACACTCAAGGATGCGATGGTCTACCCTCTCCTGAAAAAACCATCCTTGGATTCAGCCGAATTGGCCAACTATCGGCCGGTTTCCAGTTTGCCCTATCTGGTACACTGATAGGATTTTGGGTGCTGTTAGGCCTCAGTCCCACGTCTCTCATGGCTGGTGAAGGCCAGTGGTGAGGGTACATGGGACCCTCTGGTAGACATTATCAATCTATCCCTGGATTCAGGGGTCTACCCGGAGGGATTAAAAGAGACTGTGGTGGTACTGCTCTTAAAGAAGCCAACTTTGGATACCATGGATCTGTCCAATTACTGCCCAGTTTTGAATGTTTCATTTCTGGGAAAGGTAATTGAGAGAACAATGGCAGAGAAGCTCCAGAATTCCTGGCACTGGCACATTGGCACTGGATCCATTCCAGTCTAGCTTTTGCCCTGGCCATGGGATGGAGATGGCATTGGTCGCTCTGACAGATGATCTCCACAGGCAGCTGGATTGAAGCGGGTCAGTGCTGCTATTACTTCTTGACCTTACAGCAGCATTTGACATGGCTGATCATGATCTCCTGACCCACTGCCTCGCCGACATAGGGGTTCGTGGGGTAGTCTTGGATTGCCTCATTTCTCCAAGGTCGAGGACAGAGGGTGGCACTAGGGAAAAGGTGTCTCCTAGGCACCCCTTAGTATGTGGGGTCCCTCAGGGGGCAATCCACTCCCTGATGTTGTTCAACATCTATGTGTGCCCCTTTGCCCAGTTGGTGAGGAGTTTTGGGCTGGGGTGTCATCAGTACTGGCCAGATACTGCCCAATCAGTTTTGGCTGAGGAGTTGGAGGCTATGGTGGGATGGTTAAAACAGAGCCACTGAGACTGAATCCTACTAAGATTGAGGTTCTGCGGCTGGGCAGGGAGGATTCAGGGTTGGGGTGGTGTCTCCCAGATCTTGATGGCATGCCCTTAACACCGGCTCCAACTGTCAAGAGCTTGGGCGTGATTCTGGATGCCTCCTTATCAGTGGAGGCCCATATCACAAATGTTGCCAGACTGGCATTCTTCCAACTGCACTGGATCAGGCAACTTGACCCCCTTCATGTCCTGCCCTGACCTAGCCACAGTAATCCACACAACAGTTACATCCAGACTGGGCTACTGTAACTCACGCTATGTGGACCTACTGACCCAAAAACTTCAGCTGGTCCAGAATGCAGCGGTGTAGGTCCTTACAGGGACCCCTAGAACAGCACGCATTCGATCTGTGCTGTGTGAGCTGCCCTGGCTACCAGTTGAGCACTGGATCAGGTTCAAGGTTTTGTTGCTTACCTTTAAGGTCTTTAATGGTCTGGGACATACGTGCCTTCGGGACCACCTCTCCTGGTATATCCCCCGAAGGCTATTATGCTCTGCTGATAAGAACTTGCTTTGTGGTCCCCAGCTTGAGAGATATCCAGCTGTCTTCAGCCTAGTGGAACTCTCTGCCAGGTAGCATCCATGCCCAGTGGGATTTGTTGCAGTTCCGCAGGGCACGTAAGGCAGAGATGTTCAGCGAGGTGTCCGGCTGAGGACAGCAATGGCATCCATTCTGGCTGGCTCTCTAACCCCCACCCCCTGCAAGGCAGTACCAGAACAGCCAATCTTGTTCGCCATCTGATTTAATTTGACTGAATTTTATTGTAATTTTAAATGTCATAACTGATATATGCTGCATTATCTACTGTTGTTCACCACCCTGAGCCCCATTTACAGGGAATAGGTGGTATAAAGATCAAATTTAATAAATAAATTTATTAAAATTTGTATGTATATTCTTAGGGATTCATTCATTTATTTATTCAATTTATACCCCACCAAGACAGGTAGTACAGTATAGCTCAGTCTCATCAGATCTCAGAAGCTAAGTGGGGTTGGTACTTGGATGGGAGATCCCCAATGAAGACTTTGCAGAGGAAGGCAATGGCAAATCACCTCTGCTTCATCACTTGCATTGAAAGCCCCTTGCTGAGGTCACCATAAATTGGTTCTGACTTGACAGCACTTACATACTTAGATAAGCCCATCCACACAGCACATCGTTTTTGGTACGATAGTGGCATTGTATTATGACAGTATGTGTGTCTGTAAGACTGTTATTTGTTATGAATGTAACTTCACACCAATACAAATGTTATACTATTGGTAGCTCTCTCATAGTTTGAAATAAAAGAAAACAAATATTTTCCTCGCTAATAAGACTGAAGGAGCCTTTGCTAACCCTTTCTCTTTTTCTATGTTCCCCAAGGGCCAAGTATTCCATCTTGGGGCAAGTGTCCAAGACAGGCATTTACAAAGATGTAGCTGAGTATGACAAGGTAAAAGTGTGATATGAAAGTGACTGAGGGAGATAACTGTGCGGGAAGCTGTATGTAAAATGGTGCTTTTCAATTGACTCATTGACTCAAGCAAAACAGAGTACTTTCCTCCTGTGGGGCTAAGCCAGGAGAGGAGAATGATCCTAATGGCGGCAGCCTCAACAACAAAAGATTTTAAATCTTCCTCAGGCACTCTCTTATCTATCATCATTACAACAGCATATTTCTTCAAACACTACTAGGAATCCGGATGCTTAGCCACTCAAAAGTTGTGTCGTAGTTCAAAAACCTTTCTGTCATTTACAACATTCTCTACTTTATTTCCTTGTCAAATTTCTGTCCCACCCAGTCTCCAAGAAGCTGAGGGTACCCTGCCATGGGGACCCCATCATTATTAACCCCTAAAGATCCTCTGGTTAGTCTGCCAGAGGCCTGGATAGAACATACATCTTGACATGCAATTGGGGCCCCCAAAAATTGGCAGGAATTTCCATGGGCACCCTAGAAACAGAGTAGCCCACCTGCTGGAATACTCTATGGAGTATGTTGATAAAAGGCCTTTTGTCTCAAGCCTCTACAGCTCCCTCACACACTGGATATGAAAAATCCAGGACTGCTGAACAATAACTGAGACTCGTGACTTTGCCCAAACTCCTCCATTCCCTAACTTGGTTCAATGCCAGATTACCTGCCACTATGGACATGGGTGCAATGCATGGCTGCTAATGCTATTTTAGAGGGAAATGTAGCCATTTAAAAATTCCCTCTAGGGCCCAACCTGTGCTGCAGTGGCCCCAGGCAATCCCCCCCTTCTTTTCAAGTTCCTAAGCAGCCCCCCAACCCTGCTTCAGCATTTGAAAAGACATGGGGTGGGAATGACAGCTCGTAGTGCCACTGCACCATGGGCCCAATCAGGATCAAGCCCTTGCAGCAATTTTTATATGGCTAATTTCCCCCCTAAAATGGCATCAGCAGGCCTGGGTTGGACCTGTGTCCACCTTAATGTGTAGTTTGGTTCTCAATCAAGCTCCTAGGCAGAACTTCCAGCCCTGCCCCAGACTGGTCAGCCTCAGTACATCTCATTGCCATCCTAACTTCATTCATCCCAGCTTCATTTTATAACTCAGCCACTAATCCTATCATCCAAGCTCCCATCCCAGCAAAGCCAGTACCTCTCTCCTAAAATATTTAAAGGTGTATAAAAATCTGCCTCCGGACCTCCTACCTTTGTAGCTGGTTTTTGGACCCAAGTCTGCCTCCCAACCTTGTGACTGGTTCACTTTCTGGCCCCCTACTCTTTGGGTGAAATCACTGTCCCTCTCCTTTGAATTTTGGGACTTCATCCGTAGATCTACTTTTCATCGCCCACCCCACCCCTGGACTGGACTCTCACCCATATGTTCTCTTCAGTATCGGGCTTGTATGCATTCTTTCTCCCTTTTATTCCTCAAAATGCCTCCCCCCACTTGCTTTACTGGTCTGCTTTTCTCCAGGTTTCCCCCCAATAGCTCCTAGGCAGGTAGACTTATTGCAAAGGTTTTATTGTATACAACTGTTTTACTGTCTCATTTTGCTGTTCCTGCCATTCCATTTTCCATTCTGTATCTTTTTAGGAGAATAAAGATGTTTCTCATTTAAGAGCTATTTTCTCCCTCACTCTCTTGGAGTGCTGCCCTGAATTGGGACTCCGATATACACAGGCAGAAGACCCCAAAGTTTATTGCCCAGGTGACAAGTGTTGGGTCTTACACGTGTAAAGGATACTTTGCATGGGTGCCTATCTGGGTAACAAGGACATCATGTGTGAGGTTATGCCATTTTATCTGGAGAAAACCCCTATGAAGAAAGATAGTGGCTTGCCCATGGTCACTCAAATGGACTTCATGAGTGAACGGGGCCTCACAGAGCTTGAGAGAGAGGCCTCAGCCACTTCCATTTTTTTAGGCTTCCAACAGCAGCGATAGGGTTGCCAAATGTACTCACCTGTGCCGGCGGGGGACTTTGTGTTGCCTCCTGGTGCGCATGCACCGCATGCATGTCACTTCCCTGTGACGTCATCACGCTGGGGCGGGGCACAGCCATTTGAGGGGAAAACTCTATGTTTTCCCCTCAAATGGCTGTGCCCCGCCCCAGCGTGATGACGTCACAGGGAAGTGACGTGCAGCGGGGGTGGGGTTCCCCCCGGGCCCCGATTCCGCGGGGGCGGAAATCGGGGCTCCAAAGCGGGGGGGAATTCTGCCCCCCGGGGGGATTTGGCAGCCCTAAGCAGCGATGACTGTGAGAGGGGCAGGGACTGGCATGGCTCTCATCCCAGCCTCCACTGCTGCTGGTCCTGGTGCACCTCCCGGCCTCACTGCCACTGATGGAGGAGGATATTAATTCATAGTGTACACTATAGGCAGTGTGGCCCAGTAACAGGATATGAATTTAAAGGTGTATAATGAATGACATCTTTCAAGTATATCTCTGTGATTGGAGATAACTTCAAAAGTTTAAATTTGAGGCTGTCCATGAATATGAGGCCAGGGCCAAATGCCCCCCACCCGTAATAGGCCCTGTGAGTGAATGGGTATCTGTCCCCAGATCTGGCCGTTTTAAGGCAAGCACCTAACTTCACTCTACATTTTGTTTCCAGGCTGAGAAGATCCCAGGTGTGACAATTTTTCACTCCTCTGCTACCGTTTATTTTGCTAATGCCGAACTGTATGCAGGGGCCCTAAAGAAGAAGGTGAGAAGGTCCTGAAGTCTCTTGAGAAACCTTCATTTCTTGTGGCATGGCTTCGGAAATGTATTTGGGCTTTATTCCATTTGGCAGGAAAAGACCAACAGTCTTTGAACTGCACTGATGATCTCCCAACAGTACAGTTTTTCGCTATATGAACCTGGGCAGTGACACAGGGCTGTATTATGATGTTGTCAATCTGTGTGGTGGGCATTTTCATGGAGGGCAACAATGCAGGAACACAGTCAAACCCTTCCTTCCTCAGCCCCATGGCCTTTATTTATATTGACTTCAACTGGGGCTGCTTTTTCCAACCAGATTACATGTCTGAGAATCCAATCACTGATCCCCTATGTCACATGCAAGTTGGCCAAAGATCAAAGCAAGAAGGGGGCTTCTAGGTCATGGCTCTTGTAACTATTAATATTATGCTCAAGGAGCACACAGGGAACATCACTACAGTTTCCAAAAGCCAAGAGGTTCTGTATCATAAATAGCTGTCTCTTTTGCAGTGTGGTGTTGATGTGGATAACCTCATTAAAAGGAAGAAGAAAGCTCTGAAGAAAGCAGAAAAGAAAGCCAAGAAAGAAGCCAAGAAAGAAGCCAAGAAGAATAAGGTCCATCATTCTATCTAGCATCTAGATTTTTAATCTGTCTTTTCTGTCCTTCATTTTTTATTTTAGACCTGTGCAGATTCCTCAGTCTGTGATATAAATTTCTTTATTTTTCATTGCAGGAATTTGATACCACTTTTCATCAAAGTTTCAAACAAGTACATTCTTTAAAGTCATGGGAGTTCTAAAATTTCCAGAAATGTCCCCAAAAAAACTCACAAATCAATTTTTTTAAAAAAATAATTAAAAAATCAAATAGTAAAAAAACCAGGGCATAACACAATCAGTGTTATTTATCTCTCCATCATATAATGTATCAGTTATCCACCAAAAGTCATCTGACACAAGCAATTGGGACAGAACTAGTTTTATATGTTCTGAGTTAGGACCCTGGCCACTGCATTTTGCAGCAACTGACATTTTCAAACCATCGTCAAGGGCAGCCCCATATAGAGTGTTACAATAGTCTAACCAATGTGTGTGTTGTGCAACAGTATACAATTCATTTCCATGTGGGGCTCCTGTTCTGTAGAGGGACTAGCACACTGTGAATCCTAAATCAGTGATAATAATATGTACATCAGTATCTAGAACAATTTCTGTGGCATGTGAAAGTGCCTCAGAACAGACTTCCTACAGCTCTGTGTTGCTCTGCATTGCGTCATATAGTAGGATGACATAAAATATGAATAATCTTAATGCTGGCCACAGATTCCGGGAAAGATTTGATTTGGACAATAGTAAATAATAAATATTTTGAAGAAAGATAAACTCTCCTGCTCTGAAGTATTAACATTTGAGAGGAGGGAAGTAAAGTCTCTTACATATAGTTAGTCCATAAATAATCCCAGAAAAGGGACAAGGAAAACTGTCTAGGTTATTGTCTTAATATCTGAGCATGACACTAAAAGTGCCTTTGAGCGTCTCCTGTGCTGTTTGCGAACAAGTAAATGTTGTTCATATAAGAAGCATCGTCCATTAATACTATAGGGGAGAAAAGAAAAAAAGTCTCAATGTCTTATGTGAAAACACCTTTTGAAACAGTGGTGTTTATCCAATTAAATGTGTGTGAAATTCCTCTCCAGCTTAGCATCTTTTAATGGAAGGATTGTTGGACAAGTGGTAGCGTTGCACATGCCACAGTCCTTGTGCAGTCATAAGCAGTAGCCATTTACTACAATTACATTTGGCTGTATAAGTGTATTATTAAATAAGAAACAGGTGTGCAAACAGTTAGGGTTGCCAAGTGTGAATTGAGTCACAGCGGGGGACTCCCGGCTGGCGGCTGGAGTGCATGCGCTGCATCCACGTCACCCGGAAGTGATGCGGGCACGCTGGGCACGCTGGGGCGGGGCAACGACCATCCAAGGGAAAACCATAGAGTTTTCCCTTGGATGACCGTGGCCCCGCCCCCGGCGTGCCTGCGTCACTTCCGGGTGACATGCACGTCGGGGTGGAGTTCTCCCCGGAGCCCGATCCGCTGGCGGCTGGGAACGGGCCTCTGGGGCAGGGGTTTCCCCGCCCCCCGGGGGGACTTGGCAAGCCTAATCACAGTTATTAGTTCTTGTGCTATGCCTTGCATAAGTGGATTTAGCTGCCTGGATATAACCAGGGTGTTTTTTTTCTGGGGGAACGTGCCAGAACAGAGTTGCGGAAACTCTTCGACAATTTTTTAAAAAAAATGTTTAAAAGTTCATAAGTTTTCAGTATACAGATTGAAAACTTCTTTTCCCTCTTGAGAGTTCGAGCACCTCTTTTTCGAGGGAGAGGGAGAGAGAGCAGGCAGGCAGGCAGGTCCTGGATATAATGAAATTTTCTTTGCGCAACAGTGTATCACAGTTTTTAAAAATCCACTAACATAAGGGCAATTATGTTTGGGGAAGTGGACACACCGTTGTTAGCAGGACAATCAGAGAAAAGACATGAGGGCCTGATGCCTTAATCAGCCTTGGGGTAACTTCTGTATTTCTCTCTCCTGCCCTGTCTCTTAAAATGGCATATGGCAAAATAACCATAGGTCCTTTTTAACTTGTGTCGTGCTCTTGTTTTGGTAACAGAAAATAGTTCCTGAAGCCATAAATGGATGTGACTCTGGGAACAACAATCTTGGCTTTGTTGATATAGACATGGGAGCAAAGTCACAGGTATTTATCAGCGTGTACATTAAAAAACAGAAACTGCCCTCAACATTGCCATGGTATTCAATATGGTCATCTATGAGGGCATAATAATCTAGTATTGTTGGGGAGAGTTATTTTTACCTCATCTTGCACCGTTTGATTTTTGCTTCAGTCACAAAAAACACTTGGCTGTCTTTTAGTAGAAATACCTCAGAGTTTCTATGCCATTAATTAACACATCTATTTATAACTGCTATGAAAA